CTGGGGTCGCGGGTTCAAGCCCTGCCTGGCAACTTGGCGAGACCTCGTCTCTACAATAAAGCAAAAACTAGCTGGGCGTGGTAGTGTGCACCTGTAGTTCTGGCTACTTGGAAGGCTGAGGCGGAAGGATCACAGGAGTCCAGCAGGTCGAGGCTGCGGTGGCCGGGAGCGTGCCACTGCACTCCAGTCTGGGTGATGGCGTAAGACTCCAACTCAAAAAAAAAAAAAAAAAAAAGATAAGGTAGTTGTGGAGACCAAGGTTCTTATTATGTAGATGAAGCCTCATAGGTAGCAGCCCTTAGAGAGAATAGATGGCAAAATGTCTCTTATTCAGACTTTCAGGGTGTCAGACTCCTGATTAATCCCACCCATGTCCAAAAGGCCTGAAAGGGGAAAGACCTGGCTATGTTAACCTAGATTCTCTACAGATGCAAATGTTTCCCAAGACAGCTTTGCAGAACTATTTCAAAACATGTCAAGGAAATATAATTTGGAATAAAATATTCTTATTTCCTCTAGGGTCTACCGTCTGTCGTGTAATGCTACACAAGAGTAAGGTTGGAATTTGGTATCTTATTGCCACAGACTCTGTTTGTCAGTATTATGACCTCATTTTATTTTTGAGGTAGGGTCTCACTGTCACCCAGGTTAGAGTACAGTGGTAATATCACAACTGACCACAGCCTCAACCTCCTGGGCTCAGGCAATCTTCCCACTTCAGCCTCCCAGATAAACTGGGACTACAAGTACAAGCCACCATGCCTGGCTAATTTTTGTATTTTTTGGTAGCAACAGAGTCTCTTACTATGCTGCCAAGGTTGGTCTTGAACCTCTGGGCTCAAGCAATCCTCTCACCTTAACCTCTCAAAGCACTGGGATTATAGGCATGGCCTCTTTCTTTACGCTTCGGTTTTTATGTTTGCCAGTTTATTATAAAGGACACTGCAAAGTGTACAGATAAAGAGAAGTGCAGGGTGAGGTGTGGAGGAAGGGGTGTGGAGCTTCCAGGCCCTCCTTGGGTCCTGCCCTCCACGTGTTCGGCTCTCCAGAAGCTCATGGCCTTTATGTCAACGCTGGCCAGGTGTGCCTCGACTCCACAAGGGAGGAGGTATGACGTGTGTCTGATCTCCTTCCATCATAGCCTGTGATTTCGTTTCTCAGGTCTCCCTTGACCCAGTGGGGAGGGGGTTTCTGTTCAGTTGGCTGCGGGCTTCGAATTTTACTTCGGGTTTACAGGCCCGCATATCCATGTAGTCCGCCAGGAAGTCTCTGGGCCCACATGACTTCAGCCTTCCACTTCTCAATCCCTTCACTCTTGGTCTTTATCAAGATCCAGACCCAAACCCACCAAAAGACAACCCCTCGCACATGTGCTCAACAGTGCCATACGGATGTTATCCACCTTGTTCTCCAACATCCTGTTTACTTTTTATTTATTATTATTATTTTTTTTTTGAGTTGGAGTCTCACTCTGTCGCCCAGACTGGAGTGCAGTGGCCGCTCCCGGCCACCGCAGCCTCGACCTGCTGGGCTCCGGTGATCCTTCCGCCTCAGCCTTCCGAGTAGCTGGAATTACAGGCATGCGCTACCACGCCCGGCTAATTTTTGATTTATTGTAGAGATGAGGTCTCGCCAAGTTGCCCAGGCGGGCCTCAAACCCGCGGGCTCAGGCAATCCATTCACCGCAGCCTCCCAAAGGCGCGGGATTACAGGCTGAGCCACTGAGCCCGGCTCCAACATCCTTTTTATAAAGGAGATCCAATTATTTCAGAAGGTTTGTAAGGGGGAAGAGTTGGGTCAGATTTCTCATGTCTATCTGCCTAAAGGGAGAGAAGGCACAACCAGGCGAATAAAAGTGAGTGAATATTTTGAAGATTTCACATGGCAAAGCAACGCATTAGAAATCTGCTTTGGGGGTATGTGTGGGTGGATGTGTGTTTAAATTTAGAACCTGCAAAATCTTAGACTTTCCTGAGAAATTTATATGCTTCCTGTTTTTTGAGTATTAGAACCATGTAACTCATCATCTTTCCATTTGTTTACTGGCTGCAAGAATGCTCAGAAATGAATCTCTTCTTGATTTGTCTATTTTGATCATGTTTTGTATGCATGCCTTTTATTCTAGACCACCAGAATTCATCTTGGAAGGAGTATGCTTCATCTGACTTCACGTGGATTGGATAAGGAGTTATTAAATCACAAGAAGAGGGAGTATCAGGGTGACAAGGTTTCCTCAGGGCTTAGGCAATGTAGACAGAAAATAAGGCTTTGATATCGCTGTCAGGAAACTGGACAGGCCTCTGGGTAAGGGGTTCAGAAAGGGTATTAATCCTGAGGGTCCATGAGGGGAGGACATCTTCGGAACCCCAAAGTTTTACCCAACCCGAGACTTGTACTCAGGAGTCCTCAGGGTCTGAAGATTGGGTCACCTGAGTTATGGGGCTGCAGAGGAAAACAGAAAGTATAACACAAAAAATGTCATTAATGAACTGACCGTTTACTTAACTGGTCTCCACTCACGGACCCCTCCCAGTGGAGCTTCAGAATCTTCCCCTACTCACGGTGAAAGGACCAGAAAACGTGTTGTGAAGCTGTGAAGTACAAGGCTGTTGATGAAAGATGCCAAACTCTGCAGAATATTTAAGAAGGTTTATTTGGAGCCAAAAGTGAGTGACCTAGACCCATGGCACCGTCCAAGAGATCCTGAGAATGTGTGCCCAAGGTGGCTGAATTGCAGCTTGGTCATACCCACCTTAGGGAGACAGAGGTTACCAAAAAAACAAACAAACATGAGTACATGCAAGTTTTACGCTGGTTCTACCTGGGAAGGCAGGACATCTCCGAGCAGGGCTTGCAGGTCATAGGTGGATTCAAAGATTTCCTGATTGGCAAATGGTAACAAGAGCTTGGCTCTAAGGAACTTTGAAATCAGTAAAGGAAACGCAGAGCCGAGAAAAGGGGCAGTTTGGTATGTAGATAAAACCTCAGGAGAGACCAGATAGCAAATGTCTAGCTCCTCTGGGAAGCCCCAGAAGGGGACTCTATATAAATGCAAACTTCACCAAGCTGGCTTTGCAGTCATAAAATATCTTTCATTTCCTTCCGTATCTGTTATGCGACGCTATGCCAGAGGCAGGCTGGAAAGTAAGCCCCATTATACAGGGCTAATAAAAGCCCACGTGAGGTCCTACTCCCCAGGACCCTTGATCAGGAACTCGGCAAGAGGGAATACAAAGTCAGAGTTCAGTCCTCAAAGCAAACCAACTGCAAAGGCAACTGTAAATCCTTCATGAGAGGAAAGACTTCCAGAAGCCCATGCGTGTGATGTGGCCTCAATTTACTCTCAGCATCTGCCTGACCCCCTCACCCACCAACAACACTCCAACCTAGGGAGACTGAAGATGAGTGGGGCGGGGGGGATTTGGGGGATCCCCGGGAGCAGGCGAGCCCCTCCTCTTCCCTCCACCATCACCAGGCGGTGGCTGGGACGCAGTGGCCAGGGCGAGGGCTGAGGCCCGCCCCAGCCCCTCCAGCCTCCCGCCCAGCCCCTCCAGCCTCCCGACCCGGGCAGGCTCCGGGCCGGGACGTGTCTGCGAAACGGGGAGGACAACGCTCCTCCTCCCCGGGGCCGTCTGCCCAGACGAGTGACTGCGCCTGAGGCAGCTTATTCCCCGAAGGTCAGACATTGGCACGTTTCTTGCAAGCAGCTGAAATCAAAATAGGGCAAGCTTCAGGCATCTTCTTCTTGGTACCCGACCTCCACCCAACCGAGCCGGCACGGCAGACTGACCGCCTTGCGGGCGGGAGTGTGGACCGACCGGTGCAGCCCGCCCCCCCACTCGCCCCGTCTGCGTCCCTGGTTAGCACACAGTCACTGTCAAGGTCCATCAAGCGTCCGGCCAGAGGCAGCGGCGTGCTCTTTCCTTCCAGGGGCCCGCGGCCGTGGGGCAGCGCCTTCCTGGCTTCTCCAATGCATTGTCTTAAACGGCACTCGGATTCCCTCTGAAACTCTTCTCTGTGGAATCAAAGGACCCCACAGAGCCTCAGCCGCACCCGCCCGGCAACACCCGGAAAGCACTGACGGCCCCGTCTGGCCCACGCGAAACGCCGGGGGAGCGTCGCCATGATCGCGACGACTATCCCCGCCCACGCCCCCACGCGGAGGCCCAGGGCTCATCGGTGGGCTGAAGCTGTCGAGGGTCCTGGGCCGCAGACACGGGGGCTCCCCACCAGCAAAGGGCCCGAGGAGCCCCTTCCGGAGGAGCCAGAGGTCCCCTACGGAGGCCCAAGGCCCAGCGGCCCCTCCAGAAATCCGGGCGTTACGCCAGGCCTCCAGAAGCACGGAACGGCCGCCCGCGGGGTCCCGAAGCCCCCAGCCCGGAGACAGGAAGTCCCGCGCCGGCACTTCCGGCGGAGGCGGGGCGGTCTGGGCGC